TACAGTGAGATTATTACATTATTACCATGGTAATATTATAGTGATTAAATGTTTGTAGTGATTTCTACTGTAATACTCATCATATTCTTCTGTATTTTATTCAGGAAATGCCCCTCCCCCTGTACCACCTCCACCAGCAGACAAAGATGACGACACACCCAGAACCTATAGGTCTGATGAGAGTCTTGGTAAAACAGCTACAAAGACAGCTACACATGCCGCATCAGAGTTTGACTCGATCTCTGTTAAAACTACCATGGATGAATTGAATAAGGCATTCGGTTACTTCCAGAAAGCAGTGGTATGTAACACTCTACGCCTACTGTGAACACTAGAGGGCATATAATCCCACTGTGTAGACTAGAGGGCATTTTAATTCCACTGTGAACACTAGAGGGCACACTAATCATACTATGAGCACTAAACTGAACACTAAAGTCTCAATGAACACACAGCTGGAGTGTGTTTTATCCAATTATGATTATGATAAACCCATCTTGATGGTGATTGTAACTGATCATGATTTGTAGTTATGACAATCATGCTCTAGTCTGATTGACATGATTAAAGATGGGACAAATGCGGAATGAAACAAGATAAATGTTGTCCCATTTCGACTTAAATGTGCCCTTTCTTCCATCATCCAACTGTCAACAGGAACATTATAACAGAAATTATTAATAGTCAAACATTTTTATTTTATTTTTTGTATTTTCATCAGGTTCTGGCTCATCGTGGACATCACTGGACACTACTACAGAATGCTTGCCGGTCTCTCTGGAACTGTGCCCATACTGCTTTATTACGTGCCTTCACTAGTAACACTGGTGGTGGGTCTGGCGTGCTGACTGCCGATCAGTTGCGTCAGTTAGTCTGGCAACCATTCTACATAGCATCTGAATGTTTAATTGATATGATGGTTATACTGCAGAGTGAAGCAGAGAAAAAAGCTAAAAAGGTAACATTAGGAGGATTTTATCACTATTTTATGATTTGTCATGTGTACTGAAAATGACTGAAAATCATTCTACTAGTAAGTTCTGTGATTTTTTCGGACTTGTGAAATTTGCTAAATATTTAGAGGTTTTTTTACACACACAATAAAATACCATAAATTTCTAAACACAAAAACCTGGTATAGATATGGCTTGCTCATGATGTGTGTGTTGAAACAATATACCTATTGTCATCCCTAGAAGAAAAAGCAGCCAGAGGTACGCGTCAACACATGGATGGGATCTGTGACGGATGAGAAAGGTGGGGCTAGTCTCAAGTTTGAAGAACCCTTGGATGATATCACTACTATCGATGCTCGTTGGACACGTCGTATGATAATGAGAACCATTGAGATTCTGTTCTATGAACAGAGATGGGAGAAAGTGGCCGATATGTGCATGAAATTTAACAACGTTACTCAGTAAGTCATTGATTGTGTAATACATTAATTTTAGTTTCAGGTTTGCCAATAAGTTATTAGTTCGTTCGATAACCACTCCAACAGTGTATCAATTAATGTAATCAGCTTGCCTACCACAGTTTCTCTAATGTTTTTTTTCTTACTCTCAGAGAAAGGTATGCTGAGCCTGTGTGTCCACTTCTTATCCAAGCACAGAGAAAGCTGGCCGACCGAGTCGCAGCTCACGGAGGCCCTCCGCCATTACAGCCTCATTTCCAGAGGGCCTCAGAGGCTGCTGGTGGTGTACGAATTACTGCCAGTAACTACCAGGACGTGCAGCTACGAGTTGAAGCTGATGCTAACAACTATAAACCTATTGATCCCGGTGGTCATATTGACCCCGAGGGGCACGATGTTTATCTCGGTAAGTTTATATGATTTTGCAATTTAATGTCTTTTTTGCATTTATGTAGTGAACACTGCCAAGTAGAAATAACTTGAGTTATTCTATTTCATTCATAGGACCTGCTGATGCATACAAATTGGTGTGTGTACCACTTGACGTCACCGATAGTTTAACATCATTACGGGATGCATTAGATGTATCACATTATGTAGCAAGGGCATTGCAGCATAGTCGAAAGTTATTGGTATTGTACTTGGCTGGTCAGCAAAATGGTGAGTTTTTTTGTATATGTTTATCCTTTTGCTTTGTTTTATAACATTCTGATCTTACCTTGTTCAGGGACAAAACTCTATGCATTTAATCAGTTCTTTCGATCAATAATACGATACATATGCATAGTAATTGAATTATATTTAACAAATTTAGCCACCAGAAGTCCAAGCCGAATGAGCACTCACAGTCGTGTGGAGTTCGCCGAAAGTGAAGGCAAACCACAGGGACCAACTCCAGCTGATTTAATGAAATGCGAATTCAAAGCCATGACTGACACTCAGAGTTCGGCTTTACCGAGATCACAGCTCAGCATTGTCATTGAATCGTATGATAAAACTATTGAGATGTTACAAGCCAGGAATTACAGAGGACTAGCAGCCCAAGCCATGCATGAACTTGGCAATGTCTACTACCATGCTGGTAGTATCAGGTGAGATATCTCATCCCTATGTTGATGGTGTCTTCACTTTCATCTTGTCATGTGACATACATGTACATGGCTCCCTCTTACAATGAAGCAAATACAATGTAATGTGATGTAATAGTACCGCTTACGGCATTGTTATTGTTTTTGTCTGTTATCTTCCACCAATATGTACATTTTAAATGATAAATGACCTCAAAATCAAACAAAGTTATCTATTTGAACCACATTGCTTACATCGATATGCCCACTGACTATAGATTACACTAGCTGTAACTGGTATTCAAGATTATCCCTATCTCGGGAATTGAACTATTTTATACAAACAAATTTGAATTCTTCTTTTCTCAAAATTCACCTCCTTTACCCCTATTACAAAATGGTCCAGTCAACTTTCTACACATAAATTGTTACTCCTTTCATTCTTGGTGTTCTTTATAGTCAAACTACAGTTGTTTACAGTCCTGATGAAGCTTTATTTTTAAACCGTAAATTAAAAATTATCGATCTTTTGAAAGAGACAACCTGCTGTAGTAGTATGAACTAATTTTTCATTGCTTTGTTATTTATATACCGTACATATACTGAATAAATTTAGCTTATAAACTATGTGACAAATTTATATCCAAGTGAAATTAATATCCCTGAAGTGACCACACATACGGAGTAGGTTTACCAAACCCTTACAACATGCTTAACAAGTGTATTAGACTACAATGTATTGTATGTACTTGACAGGGCTGCTTATAAATGGTGGGCAGAGGCACTTGATCTGATTATGAATACCACAGATACACTGCACACCTGGAGAGAGTTGCTATCAAGCGGTGATCCACATCAAGATGCCAGCGCCAAGTTACTGGAACGATGTGGCCTATGGGGATGCGTTCTAGCTGGGATATTAACGGCGAAAATAGCACAGTATGTTGATTTCATTCCTTTCAGTCCTTCAAAGTTTAACCATAAAGAGTTAACTGTCATTACCTGGGATTAGATTATTTTGTGCATGCTTTTGATTGGTCATCATCATAATAATATATATACTGTTAGTGGATCTTTGAATTTTTTGCAGTAACAAGTTTTCTCAGTCAGATGTTTCCCCGGTATATTAATAATGAGAAATTTTGCAAAATGTCATTGTGGTTGTTGTAGTATAAAGAACCCCAGTGAAAAGTGCACCATTTTAAAATTTTATGATTTCTCAGACACATGACAATTTCTCTCAAAATTGAATCTATACAGTTCCTTTCATTCATTTTACCTTATCTGCATACATACAATTAAGTAAAATACTTGCCAATGTGAAGTCATGCACTTTCATGATTAACTTTTACACTTAATTTTATTTTATATGCATTATAACTACAAACAAACATCAAAGCATTTATACTTTTATACGTTTTGTTTTTAAAATTGTGAGTAAGTGCACTTGGGTATATTGCACTTCCTGCCTACCTACATTAAAGGAAGAAACAGCTCTGGTTTAAACCTCACATGATTCTTTATGTTATTCCAGGTACATTCTGACATCTGATCTTGGTCTACGTATGCAGAGCTGTTTCCTGTCCGCTGTGCTGTTCAAATCCCTATTTCGTTCTACGCTGCCCCACCCTACAGCTGATAGGGACTTTGCCCTGTATGAAGTAGGTGAAGGATGCGAAGTTCAATATCTGCTACCAGGAATCGATCTCTTGTCTGATAGATTCCGCTGTGATGGTAGAACATTAGTAGCGTGTGTGCGATGGGTCACTGAGGAGCTGTCTAGAGGAAGACATAACCTATTGGTAAGAAATATAGTCTATACAAGTCGTGTATTCCTATCATTATAACATTATACATTTTACTGTGCTATCCAAGTGTCTACCAGACCCGGTTCCATAAAGTCATATACCGGTACTGTAAATGTATTAATTATTCACTGAGTTTTAATTTTGCAATTTTCATTGATGAGTAAAAACCGCTAAATTAAATCTTCTTGAACATGTAAAATATGAATAATACTCATTGTTATCTTGACAAATTCGTGAAATTAAAACACAGCGTATATGCTCAAAATAGTGAAATTAAATGTTGGTGCAAAAATAAATTGTTTTACAGTATTAACCCTTTTTTGGTACTCATCCCCTCGTATGATTTGAATTTGAGATCTATCAATCCAGTGCAACGATTTCTAATACACTGCGTACTCTTTGTTTTTAACGTCTTCTTTGGCAATGACATTAGATATTGAATTGATTAAAATTGACAGATTTGGCACTCGTTATGAGGCTGTATTCAAACTTTTGATATCAGTTATCATTTCAGCAATTTAAATACTGTCATTTTATTCTGCAATACTCGTCAGTAATCATACAAGTGAATTCAGTATATTGAATTAAATTGTCCAGTATATTTGTATATCATGTAAATCTACTGTTACACAATGTATTTCAATAAAAGCACTATAGAATGTATTCGCTGCCAAAATTATTTGAACTTGTATATCCCTGTTATTATGTCAGAGGATAAAAACAAAGTGGTGGTTCATTTTTGTGATTAATAGTCATCCCTATTAAAGTTACTGTAATATATCATAGTCTACATTGTACATTTACAATATCAGTGTATGTGCTTCGTTTTAGGTTCTACCATTGCTGACATTGTATCAATACTTCACAACGTTCGTATGTCGGGATTTACAAAGAGTTGTAGATGGAAGAATTTTGAAGGTGAGTTCTATGTACCATTTTGATAGGTGTATGTTATTGTATTTGGGATTGTAACATGGCTGTTCTCAATAGTTTTGTAAGATCTGATAATAACTTGTTTTGAGTTGTATTATATAACGTTATCCATCCAGAATGATAAAGTAATTATTTAATAGGACATGCCATTGTAGATTCCTGTTGCATGCAGAGGTTGTTTATTTCACCAGCTGTCAGCATTGTGTTTTCATGTTAGTTAAATGCCACCTCACTTGCCATTGTGATGTCCTATGTTCTTTAGTGTTCAAAGGGTAGGCCAAATACCAAATAGTAGTTGTTCTATGAGGATAGGTTAGAATTTGCTCCAATTAGACAATCTTGTTTGTATATAAGGCAAATAT